GTCGTCCACCTCCACCGCCACCATCTACCGCCACCACCACCACCGTCCACCACCACCTCCGTCAACGTCCTCCACCACCACAACCGTCCATACACCACCACTATACACTACCACCATTAATTTATATAGCAGTCTACAGACATTAAAAAAACAAACAGTCTTCTTCTTGCAGACCGCAGACCTTCGATCCACCACTTCTTCTGCAGATGTCTACAGTAGTGGTCCGCAGACCGCAGACCTTTTCCTGCAGAAAAAACAAACACCCCCTAATAGGATTAAGGAGGTAAGCCTCCTCCTCCACCGTTCATATCACTTGTCTTTCATGCCCCCCCCCCCCAAAAAAAAAAAAAAGAAAAAAGTAAAATAAATTAATTTTCATCTTATATTTTTTCCTTTGATCTTTCAAATTCCTTAACACAAACATGGATTAAATGTATTATGTAATTAATTATTCCCTCCGTCCTAGAGTATTTGTCCACTTTCATTTTTACACACTATCCAATACACTTTTTTAATCCATTTTATCTTGTAATTTGTATATTAAAAAATTATAGAAATTGTATTTTAATAATTTATATGTTAAGACAAATCAAATAAGATTACACATGACTGTATTTAGGCTTACACATTGAGAGAATTTGATGAGTCAAAGTGCTTAGATGAACATTTCCAAAAGTCAAAAATAGACGAATATAGCTGGACGAAGGTAGTATTTCGTATTAGAGTATAAATCGATCTTATATTTTATCTTTATATTTAGATGCATATGTGTTGCATATGCATCTAAAATTGTCAAAAGGATTCTTTGAGAGAAGTTACTTTTGAAATCAAACAATATCTTTCTTATATTAGAAATTGATTTCTTTTCTTTAAATTCCATTCGATCTTTATTACTCCATCCGTCCTAAAACTTTCTTCCCACTTCCCCTTTTTCTCCGTCCTAAAATTACCTTCCCATTAGAAAAAAAGATGACAAATGATATTAATACCCTCATGTATTTACACCAATTATCTTCTAGCTCTATATTTTGAATGATTGTAAAAAAAATTTCAAAAAATCTTTTTTAAGGAGGATAAAATTTGAAGTCAAAGCCAAAAATTAAAAATGAGGAAAAGTCAAACAGAGAAGAAAGTTTTAGGACGGAGGGAGTATTTTAAAAGCTTTCTTCATGATTGAAATTGAATTATTGTCTTAATTACAATTCACATTATATTATAGTAAAATTTGCACTAAATAGGACTAAAACATAATGACTTTCCTAATCTAGGCCTTAAACTTTTTTATTCCCTAAATAGGACTTAATAATGTCTTCGTGAAAGGAATAATGCCCAGCAATAATAGACATTACTTGAATAATGACTAAAGAATAATGACCAAAGGTCCTACATTCGAAAATAAAAATATATGGTCCTATTTTGGGAAAGTCATCATGTTTTAGTTCTATTTAAGTAAATTACTCTATATTATATTGTTGTATGAAAAAGGTGAGATTATTAGAACGAAGTTGGTTTATTAAATACGGAGTATATGAGATTATTTATAGTTGATCGTTTAAATGTGAGATTATCCATGACAATTTTTCAAGTAAATACATTTATTATTCAAAATAGCTAATACAAATAAACAACAATCGTAAGTTTATAAAATAACAAGTCAAGGAAGACCATTAGTCCATTGTTTGAAAAAAAAATCCTACGAGTATTATAGTCTACAATAATTTTTTTAAAATAATGATTAAAAAGGAAACACTAGATCCCAATACCAAAATTCCAATACTAGGAATTTGCAATGTCTTATTTTTATGAAAAAGATTCTTTAGTGTACATCTAGAGATTTGTAACTCAATTTGTACACCGCAAGTGTGCACTTTCATTTGTATTAGTGTAATGTAGATTTGTAACTCAATTTGTACATCGCAAGTGTGGACCTTCATTTTGTATTAGTGTAATATCAGGGTGATAGTTCTAACAGACACAAAATGTTAACATGAATTTTTTTAATGCACTAACATTTTGTCAGTGTGAACTATCAAAATGTTACTGTATATTTTTGGTGTAGCTTTATGGTACACTTTTTAGCTTGTAGCATGGTTCTTTCTTTAATTCTATCCTCACTCTACTTCCAACTTCATATAGGGGAGGTATTTATTTGAACTCTTTCCATCACCACCCCCATTAGGGTTGGACACACTACAGTTCCAGTACCGCCTCGTCATAGGACTGTAACGTGTGACGGGTTAGACGGTGTCGGCGTTGGTTTCAATACCGGCGGTTCTGGTACCGGTTCTGGTACCGGTTCTGGTACCTGTAGTTTCCATGTTTTTTTTGAATATATGAATATACAATGATCATTATATACTCCATAATAATTATATTGAGAATTGAGAAGAACTCAAGATATGGAGAGAAAGACATGGAGAGTATATGATTTGTGAATAAAAATTAGGGGTGTATATAGGTTAAATTTGACCCTCGCACCCCAAATCCCCCACCCACCCCAACAGCTTTAAAAGTCATCCTACGGACTATAGGAACTTTGGAGTTTGGGCCGTTGGAAAGCAGGCTAACCCAGAAACAAACCAAAATCGGTATCGCCGGTTCTAGTATCCAAAATTAAAAGCGTCTCCTCACGGAATACAGGGGTGGAGAATATGGTATTGAAGATAGGAAATAGTCCAACTGATTAGTGAGTTCAACTGAAAAGCTTATATACTGATTATTTTTACTCTTCAACTTTCAATGTGGGATGATACTCTAACAAATAACAAACAATAGGAGAAATTCAAAAAACAGGCTCTAATATATGGAGTATCATGGAAGTAAAAAACAAATATTATTTTCGTTTTCGAGTATTTGTCCAGTTTTGACTTTTTTCATTCAACAGTTTTCAAGTTTTGGCTTATAATTTAATAAAATATTTATTGTATATTAATGAAATAAAATAATGTTATGAAAACATTTGATAAATTAAATTTAGTAAAACTATTTTTGTATCAATATCTAATACCGGAGTATCATTTTTATTTATTTGAGGTTAAAATTTACCAATTTTGATCAAAAAAATAAAAAATGAACAAATAATCCAGAACCAATGGAGTAGGTACTACATAAAGCTCAAGCTCAACCACTTAATTCTTGCAAGTGCTTGTGAAGCCTTCATAACAATAAAGTACAGTACTCCGTATGTTATTTAAAACGACCATGCTACACTTACACAAAAAAATATACCTCATTTATACACCACAGGCTTGCATAAACATTTCGATGGTTTACACCGACACAAGTGTTGGTGCGTTAATAAATATTCACACAGACACAAATGTTGGTGCGTTTAACAAAAATTAGTTTTACACCAACACAAAGTGTTGGTGCAAAACTGCGGGGTACAAACCTTGGGGTACACATAGCATAATCCTATTTAAAAAAATATTTTGTTTCGCTAATCATTGGAGTACCAACCAAATTTAGAAGGAGCTTTACACCCGGTTGAATGAGGGTGTTTCGATGTCAGACGAGAAAGACAATAAATATACTTCCTCCATCTTAGAGTATTTTTCCACTTTCATTTTTATACACCTTCCAATACACTTCTTTAATTCACTTTATCTTGTAATTTGTATATATTAAAAAATTATAGAAATTATATTTTAATAATTCATATGTTAAATCAAATCAAACAAGATCACACATGATTATATTTAGGCTTACACA